GTCATACACACATACATATATGTATAGATACTAGAAAGATACATGGATAGGTAGATCGATGATAGACAAATGCATAGATACATAACATCTGTACATAGACATACAGAAAGCTGTAAAGTACATCAAGCACAGAAAGCCTAGGGATACAGCTCAGAAGATAAAAGCACTTTGTGAAAGCTAGATGACCTGAGCTTGATCCCCAGAACCAACTCCCAAAAGGCTTCCTCTGACCTACACACATACACATGCATACATGCACACACATACACATACTCACATTTTTGTGCACGCGCGCACACACACACACACACACACACACACTCACACGCATGCACACAAATAAGTAACAGAAGCAAACAGTTGATACCAGTTCCTGTCCTCCCACACACTGGCTGTTAAATAAGCCGAGTCCTCCTGACCACAAGGCAGCAGCTTCCCTGGAAGGACAAGCTGACTCTTCCCCCTGTCACTCATGTATTCACTGACTCAACAGACATTGATTGACCAGCCACCATGTGTCTCAGGTTGTGCTGAGTACAGGAATCAGGCCCGCTACGGCTAACCTGGAATTTGACCTCCATTTTCTTATTTAGCCTTGACCTCTGCCCTGTGTTCTTTGTTAAAGGATAACTAACACTGGCCTGAGAGAGAATGGTCCTTAGGTAGCTGAAGCGCTCGGACCCTGGACAACTCCTGTGGCTTGCATCACTGTTCTAGCTTGGGAAAAAGGGCAGCTTCCTGAAGAGCCTTGAGACTTAGAAAAGACAGCCTTGAGCAGAGCACAGCATGCTTTGAGGGAGACCTACCTGCCAGAGGCTGGGAGCTGAGCTCTTTGAATTTCCATCTAGAAGGGAGGTTGGCCAGGAAGAGCCTTTATACCTAGGGAGGCTGAGATCCACCTGTGCATAGCACCAGGCCAGGCTTTTGTCCCAAAGACGGCTATGTGGCCACTGCAAATGGTGGAGCGCGGGATTCAAGAAGACCAGTAGCTGTGGGTGTTTCCTTAACACTACATTTCAGAATCTCACCACTGACCTTCAGAGTCTCCTCATCAGTGTCTTGCTGCCAAATCATCCATGTTTCTCATTCTTTGGCTTTGAGACATGATGATCCTTATCAAAATGTAATCAGTTTAAGAAAGTGCTGAAAGATCAACAAGAAGATTTTAATGAGCATCTATCTAACACCCCGGAAGAAGCTCCCACTGTGTAAGCTAAACTGTAGGTCATCTTACATGAGAACAGAGTATGACGGAGTCAATTTGAAGAAATAAACCCGTGAATCTACAGGAACACTAAGAAGAACACCCCATTCCTCTTGAATCTCAGACATGTCTGGGACTCATGATGGAGCTCGGGCTGGCCTGAAATTTCCCATGTTTTTGTCTCAGCTTCCTAAATTCTGGGACTATAGGTCACGCTGCTAGTCTTGAAAAACAGCTTTCTTTTTACACTGGAGTTGTGGGGACATGCACACCACATTGCATGTATGAGATCGGCCCCTTCTGTCTTGTTTGAGACAGGTCTTCTTGAGAAATATCTTTAATTTTTTTTTTTTTTTACAGAGTAGTACCAGGCAGCAAACTTAGAAGAATGATAGAATTTAAAGTATCATGGGTTTACAGCTGTAGCCATCTATGAAGTAGCTAACAGAGGTGAAGTGCAGCTGTGGATGCCAAAACCTCCAAATGCACCAATGTTATCCAACAAGTTGGTCACATGGTCTCTAGAGAACAGGAATCACAACCCAGGTGCTCTGTCCGTCTTAGCTCTTCCAGCCATGGGAAAGACTTCCACTGTTTGTCTTCTGGACTGATGCAACAGGAAAAATCTCACTCTCACAGTGGTTCTACCATGTTTCCAAACAAATCTAGTGTAAAATGTTTTAAAACATTGCCATGAAAGTCTCACACCATTTTTAAGGGGGAGACGCTTTCCCGGGTTAAAAAGGACTAACAGGGCATAAGGATCAAATGCAGTGAGTGGATTCTGTGTAAGAACACAGTGGGTCATTCTGTGAACATCTCAGGAACGTTAAAGATGCACAGATACACTACACATTAGGAAGTAGTGTTATCTGTGGGGCTCGAGAGACGGCTCAGTGGGGAGAGGTGCTTGCCATCAACACTGACAACCTGTTTGATCCTCAGGACCTACATGGTGAAAGGAGACAACTGACTCCCAGACGTTGTCCTCCGGCCTCCATGCATGCACCATAGCACACACTGCACACAGACATCCATAAGTAAATGAACACACACTAGGAAAATGGTGTTACTCCAAAGCTAAATCTCCAGGGCGAATGATGGTGCGTGCGTCTGAGAACACCTGCTCTCAGGTGAAGTCTCAGGGTGCCTGTAACATACTTTCTTGTGGTTCAGTCCCTGAGACTCCCCTCCTCTTCAGATGCCAATCAAAAGCCCGGGCTGGGGCTAGAGAGATGGTGCATCTGTTAAGAGCATGTGCTGCTTTTGCAGAGGAAAAGGGTTCAGTTGCCAGCAAGCACATAGTAGCTCACATCTGTAACTTCAGTTCCGAGGGATCCGACCCCTTTTGTGGCCTCTGCAGTACCACATGTATGTGGTCCATATACATATATGTAGACAGTGTACACACTAAAAGAAAAGACAAATCAATCTGGTTTTGAAAAGTCCCAGGTTGTCCCCATGCTTTCGGCTGCCTGGTCCACTCTGTACTCAATTAATTTGCTAAAACAGCTCACAGAGCATGTCGAAACATTTCCCTCACATTCTCCCATCCATGGGGAGTTTACACGGGCTGCAGATGTGGGAGGACTTCAGAACTTTACCCATTCCGGCTGAGCTGCCCTTGTGGGCACCTGTGTGTCTGGCTCTCTACAACTCTCAGAACACTGCCCGTGGGGGTTTGAAAATGATTCTCCATGTGGGCATGGATGACTACACGCAGACCACTGGGGAACAGCTTAGCTCTCAGCCTCTCCCCTCCCTGGAGGCTAGAAGATGGGCTCAAAGTTCTAACATTCCAGTCACCCCTTGGTCGCCAGCCACCAAAGAGGCTCTGCATAGCTCCCATTGCTCTGGCGAGTCCAGGAATGGAGTGACAGGAAGTGGAGGCAGGAATCAAATCTTTACAATATTAAAGGGAGCAAGTGAACGTTTCTTGGCAGAATCGCTCTGAAAAGTCATGATTACCACCTTAAGATTTTTCACTGTGTCTACTTATTTTGTGTGGAAAAGGGAGGCACACATTCCATGGGGACTGTGCGCACGTCAGTGGACAACTTGAAGGAAATCAGTTCTCTCTTACTGTGTGGGTCTCAGGGCCATCAGGCTTGGTGACACATTCCTTAACCCACTGACCACCGAGCCATCTCAGTAGTCCTATGCCTCCCCCCTTTTGTGGAAGGACACAATCCATTGCATTGTTTTAGTTACCCGACAATGCCTTAGAAAACGGGGACAAGTCGGATACTGTTATCAATGGCAGAGGACAAAAGAAAGGGTCTGGAAACATTACACGTAGGGTTATCTACAACTGACAGCATGGATGCAGGGGCAGCTGAATACCAGAGGATGAGAGGTAAATGGGAAATAAAAGTGGGAACTAAGTGTCCTTGATGAAACAGCATGCCCAGAAGCGACTTAGGAAGGAAAGGGCTTATTTCACTCAACTCTTCATGTCACAGTCCATCTTTGAAGGAAGTTAGGGCAGGAACCTGGAGGCAAGAGCTGAGGCAGAGGCCACAGAGGAGCCCTGCTTTCTGGCTTCCTTGCCCATAGCTTGCTCAGCCTGCTTTCTTCTACACTCTAGACCTAGGCCAGAGGTGACACCACCCCCAGTGGGCTGGCCCTCCCACATTAATCATCAATCAAGAAGATGCCCCCCAGGCTTGCCCACAGGCGAATCTGGTGGGGGAATTTCCTCAATTTTGGTTCACTCTTCCCAAATGACTCTAGCTTCTGTCAAGTTGACATAAAAGTAGGCAGCGTGGCAGGCTTGGGTTCCAGGCCGAATCCTTCCTGCCCCACTCACTCTCCCATGTCTAGCCTTCCTGTGGGGGGGGGAGGCACCTGTCACATTCCGTCCCCTCCAGCCAGCCACTGGCCTTCAAGTTGAGCCTAGATGTAAATGTTTGAGCTTTGAAGTCAGCTGCTCATGTGTAAACCTCAGCCCTGCACGGTGACCCTGGACGGGCTTTTTAATCATGATGAGCCTGAGGCTCGAGCACTGATTAACTGGCAATGGGTTATGGGAGGCCTCAACAGCATGGGCCTGGTGCATGGTGGGCACTGTACAGCACAGTGTCTAGTCAGGACTTGTGAAACACGTGTGTGCACCCCCTAGGCACTACTATTCCTTTACACACTCAGCAGAAAGCTGCCTTATCCAACTCTACTGCCACATCCAGTTGATATTCATGCTCAGTCCCAAATATTTCCCAAAGAATTCCTAAATTACCCTGTCCTTTCAATAACCACCTGGTGGCCTCTCTTATTTCCACTCTTATCAACGACCCCTGGTCTCCATGGCAGATAGCATTGTCATTAGGCTTACGGCACTCCGCAGTTCCCATGACCTCCGAGTTTCTCACACTGTCAGTCTAGATTCCTGCCCAGTTCTCTAGCATTGCTAGCCACCCTCAAACACAATCTGCTCACTCTCGGGACACAGGCGTTAGAGCTCTTAACTGTGCCAAAAATATCTCCCTCATATTTTCCTTCACAGGGGCTACCTCCTCTTGCTTGTCCACTGGGTCTGAGCTCAAATGTCATTTCCTCAGGAGAGTCTTCCCCAGCCATTGTGTGTCCCCTCCACTGCTCACGGTTATCATTGTCAATGCACTGGCCATTATCTAACACCAGGCTGTTCTGTTTCTTGGTCCCTAGTATCCCATCACTTGCTGAATACACAACAGAGCTGGAGGAGCCTCTGTGTCTTTTCACCCGGCATGCCATAGGTGCTCAGTAAAGGCTCGTGAAGAAACTGTTAAGTGAATGGATTCATATGTGTGCCCTACAGGTCAGGGTGTGTCACTGCACATTCCACAGCCAGCCATCAACGCCACTGTCCAAGACGATATCCTGCTGTCCGTGGACTACTCCTGCCATGGGGTGCCCACTATTGAGTGGAAGTACACATCCATCTGGGGTGTACAGAAGATTGTGGAGTGGAAAGCAGGGACCCCAGCCAACGTCTCCCAAAGCCACAGAGACAGAGTCTGCACCTTTGACAATGGCTCCATCCAGCTCTTCAGTGTGGGTGTGAGGGATTCTGGCTACTATGTCATCACTGTCACAGAGCACCCAGGGAGCAGCCAGTCTGGCACCATTGTGCTGCATGTGTCTGGTAAGAGAGGTGCCTGCACCACAGGCACGGGTTGGAGGGGGATGACTCTAGTGTTAAGAGAGACCTTGCCTTCCCTCCTGTCCCACCCAGAGATCCTCTACGAAGACCTCCACTTTGTTGCTGTCTTCTTCACTCTGCTCGCCGCGGTGGCTGTGGTGCTAATCAGCCTCATGTGGGTTTGCAATCAGTGTGCATACAAGTTCCAAAGGAGGAGGAGATACGAACTCAAAGGTCATGCGCTGGGCCTTGTGGTAATCCCGTCATGCTTCTGAGGCTAGAGGTGGCACCCGTTACCTCATTCACACTTAGAAACTACTGTGTGGCAGGTTTTCAACCTTTTGTCGCGCGCGCGCGCGCGTGTGTGTGTGTGTGTGTGTGTGTGTAAGTCAGAACTCATTAGGTGTCTTCAAGCACACTCCACCCCTTACTTTTGAGGCAGAGTTTCTCTCTGATAGGCTAGACTGGCTGACCAAGAGTTCCTGGAATCTGCCTGTCTCCCTAAACACTGAGATTGCAGATACGAGCCCCATAATTCTTACATGGGTTCTGGGGCTCCAAATCCAGGTCTTTATGATTGTGCTTGTTACCAAATGAACCACCTCCTCAACCCCTTGACTTGTCTTTTGCTTTGCAGAAAGCACCACTGAGGAGATTGAGATGAAAGATATTGAATGTTAGCCAAGACTGTGCCCAAATACATTGCTACCTCAAGAGAAAAACAGTATTTTTCAGTCGAAGGAACAAACCAAGCCAGTCCTTGCTGTAGCCTCTCGAAACCTGGGCCCGCACCCCTTTACTGATGAGACAGCTGGAAGATGAGAAAGCTGTGTGGCGCTGAGGATGATGGCTTCCTTAAACAAGCCAGTTCCAGGACTTGCATGCAGTTCAAGGAAAGTTTAACTGAGGCTTTCCACCAGGAACTGTGGCTTCAGGGTCATTCTCACCCCTAACACAGGCAGGCACCAGCTGCCACTTACAGTACAGGCTACGGTCCCACACTGGCCTGCTGGAGACGTCCCCATCTCCAGGGCAGCGTATCTACAGAGGGGCTGACGTGCAGCTAGCATCGGGACATGCAGTCTGTTCCTTTGTGCTCCCGTCTGATCTGCAAAGTGTGGCACCCTCCATCTCCCTGTCTTACATCCCATAAGTGCTGCTGTGGAGACATGAGCAAGCCTGAGGCTCGGAGGGAGACGGTCTGATGAGGTGGTGAACTGCTCCTCAGGGAGAGCAGCTGAGTGCACTGACGGACCAGCTCTGAACGCAGGGAGCAGAAGTCACTCTCATCCTTCCTCATCCAAAATTAACTGAGTAGCTTAAACTGGGCTGGTATGAGAAAAACATGGCTTAAGTTGGCCAGGAGCAGCTGGATGGGTGGCACAACAGGGAAAATCTGTAAGGCTTCATTCATCTTCATCCTGTTTGGTCACCAACACTTCAAGTCTCCAGTCATATCCTGGGCTGAGGGGCATGTGACCTTCACCTACCTCAAATGGCATCAGGAGAAGCCAGCATTAGTTTATATCTCTAGGAGTGATTAAGAAGAGCATGAGAATTCTTTTTTTTTTTTTTTTTTAATTTTTTATTTTTTTGAGAATTCTTTAAGGATCTGGAAAGCTATAAGGGAAAGTGCAATCACCATTGCATAGCAAAGGTTAAAATGCTCTGGGATGGGGCTAGAGAGAGGGCTCAGCAGCTGAGAGCCCTTGCTGCTCCTGCAGAGGAACAAAACACAATTCTAAGCACTCACATGGTGGCTCATAACCTTCTCCAATTTCAGGGAATCTGATGCCCTCTTCTGGCCTCCATAGGCACTGCATGCACGAGGTGCACACACATACATGAAGACAGTGCTCATGCACATTAAATAAAAATTTTAAAATTAACCTAAAAGTTTTTTTTTTTTTTTTTTCCCCAATGACCTGGGTTATAGGGGCTCCAGCTGAACTTGGAGGTTGGGTCTCAGTTGGCCTTGGCTTTCAAACTCTCAGGTTGTTGTCATATGTTTACCTGAATGGGTCTTCTTCCCAGCTAAGCTCTGGCAGCAAGCATTCCCTCCCTTCTTGCTTCTTATGCACATCTGCATATCAAAGTTACCACTCCAGCTATGATGGAAGCTGAGGTGTGTAGGGCTTTGGCTGCAGATTCATGCACACAAAGGTAAAAGTGTGCTAGAACATTTCTTTTTCCTCCTTCCTTTCAGGCCCCCAATGCCTGTATCTTTTCTTCTTCCCATGTGGTAGGTAAGGAGTTGTTGCTAAAATTCCTTTCCTTGGGGGAAATGTAAACATTGGCTGCCTCTTCTCCTCAGGTCCCAACAACAAAGCAAGGTGCAATTCCACCAAAGTTCACCCAGGAGCAGATGCATTTATTGGGTTTCTTACAGAGCACTGGGTGAAGAGATAGAGGCAGGACATAGGTGACTTTAAAACGAAGGAAGGTCTGCTTTGATGGAGCACCTCCTTTTCCTCCCCACCTATGTGCTCTAGCCTCTCCCTGCAAGACCACATTCAACAGGGCAGGACTGCATACATCTGACTGGAAGAGATGATTGGATACTCAGGTGAAGGGTTCAGGAATCTCCCTGTCCCTTCCTTTGATGAGAAAAGTAGGCAGTCAACAGGCCCAGCAGAACTCGTGAAGATGGAGGAAGAGTCCCATCCTACAGGCGTTACCTGAGAAGTCACTTGGAAGCCTTTCCTTAAAGTCCAGAGCTTGAGGATGAGGTCTCAGGGTTTGTTCAGACAGGAGTTTGCAGCAGGCTAGACAGGGCTCAGGTGGCGCCTGACTCGAGAGGCACTCATCCTTGCCACTTCCTTTGTGCTCGTACAGACGCCCACACCTGTGGCCCCCTTTCCCAGCAGCAGTCTGAGGAATGAGGCACAGAGCAGGGCAATTTCCACCTATGCCAGGAAGCAGCAGGGTGAGGACTGCTGGTGACAGGAAACAAGGGTACATACCTCTCAGAAGCCTTAGGTGCTGTGGGAGCCTGTGCTGCTCTTCAGCTGGGAATTGGAGGAAAAGAGGGAAATGGAGCTGGATCCCAAGGAGGCTTCAACTGGCAAACCTGTCTGCAAATCACATTGTCCTGGGAGAATCCAGTGGAGTCATTTTCTCTACTGCCCTATTTGTAAAGGGGCTTTCCTGTGCTCTTCTCAAGCTGCCCTGTTTTTTAAATTCTAGGGCCTGAAGTTTTGTTTGGTTTGCTTTTAAGACAATAGAGAATTACCAGTATAATGTTAGACAATAAGTTGTTTCAGACACTGTAAAAAGTGAATGAAAAGGAAGTTCTGAAAATAAAGTCCACTTTCATCAAGAAGGCCTGAGAGGGCTCGATGGTTAAGAGCACTGGTCATTCCTCCTGAAGACCCAGGTTTGATTCTAGCTCACAACTCTAATTCCAGTTCCAGGGGATCGGATGCCTTTGTCTGGTTTCCTTGAGCACCAGGCACACATGTGGTACAGCAAACATGTGCATAAAATAGTAAATGATTTAAGAATAAAAATAAAAAAAGAAGTGAAAGGCTGTGGGTGAAGTTTCCAGCTAGTATTGAACACACAGAACTGGCAAATGGCCAGGGGTCAGATATATGTTTTAAATGACAACAGAGCTTAACACATTGATTCTGTCAACATAGTCTCACAGCCTTAGAAAAACAAAACCTGGTCTATTGTAGCCAGAAGACTAAAATTCTGGGTGCTTCCAGAATTTTAACTAATGCTAGAGTCCTTGCTCCCTCTGGAAAGGGTGGAGACTAGGAGACTGTCATTCCACACACTTCAACAGTACATACCTTGCCCTGATGAATACCTGAGTGTGTCTTCTCAGAGTATGAACTGAGATCCAGTGGTGCATGCCATGCTCGTGTTGCACTTTCTGGTATTAAGAGCTGAAATAAAACCCCAGTTGCTCCAGGCCCACAATGATGGTAACTGTTCAAGACCATCTCAGACATTACAGAAGCAACACCACATCGAGAACAGACACAATGAGGTAAGGCTGCCAGGATATCTTGGCCAGGGCAAGAATATGGAGACAAGGCTGAGAAGGACATCATTCAGAAGGGCTCGAGGAATGTAAGCATGGACAGAGACACTGGCAGGTAGAGTGTCAAGGAATGAACAGGAAACCAAACATGATGGGGTGATGTCTTAGGGTTTTATTGCTGTGAAGAGAAAACAAGACCACAGCAACTCTTACAAAGCAAAACATTTAATTGGGGCTGGCTTATAGTTTCAGAGGTTCAGTCCATTAATGTCATGGTGGAAACATGGATGCATGCAGGCAGATGTGGTGGTGATAATGGAGCTGAGAGTTCTAAATCTTGATCCACAGGCAACAACAAGAGACTGCACCACACCGGGTGTTGCTTGAGCATCTGAGACCGCAAAGCCCATCCCCAAACCGATACACTTCCTCCAGCAAGGCCACCTTGTGCCACTCCCTATGGGTCTAGGGGGGGCAATTATATTCAAGGCACCATAGGTGGCCACCAGGAATGTGTCTCAGATACAGTTGCCTTGACAGCCGTGGTGGGTACTGGGTACTCTTTCCTCCAGCTGTCACCAGATTTCTGTATTGGAATTAGCTTATTGTGCTGTTTCCAGACATCAGACACCTCTGGAGTTAATTGAGAAACCACTGTTACCTCGACTACACATCAACCTCCACTCAGAAGGGTGGACTGCCCCTGTGTGCGTCTCCATGTGACCAGCAATTTCAGCTGCCAGTTTTCAAGGACATCAGTTGCTGGAGTCATGATTTCTCCTGCCTTTCAAGAATCTCTAATAGCAAAAATAATGCTTCTTTAAAAGTCAAAAGATATGTAAGTCCCCAATATAATTAAAGTTCTCCCTCTTCAACTTCATCTCTCAGAGGGAACAGTATCTTTCTAGACACATACAACATAAACAAACATGTCTATATGTTACAGTACACATTTCAACAATCACACCCACCCACCCTTTTTCTCTGTAGTTCTGGAGATTAGACCTGGGCCCCAAGCATGCTAGGCAAGCACTCTCCCACTGAGCTGCATCCCAGCCCCAAACCTGACCTCATATACATTGCGTGTCTTTCCGGATGTCTTGGCATTACTTCATTTCATGTTTCTCTAATCTTAAATTTCACTCTTTCCCCCTTGCAAAACATAATCCATACCATGGATACATTTTACTAAAACTTTTTATTTATTTATTTATTTAATTTTGAAACTGGGCTCTCCCTATGTAGCTCCTGATGGCCTGGAACTCCCAAGTGTTGGAATTAAAGGTTTACAATACACCATGCAAAACCAAAAATCTTAGGTCAACTTTCTATTACCTCAGATTACTTCCATCAACCAACGCTGTGTAGTGTGTACATGTAAACGTGCAGGCATGTGTACATGCACATGTACACATGGAGACACAGATGCTATCTTTCTCGGTGGCTCTCCAATCTACAGGATGAGGTAGAACTGGCTCTGGGGACCCCATCTCTGCCACAGGAACCTGGGACTTTAGACAGACCATTACACCCATCTAGCACTTACACAGATGCCGGGATCCAAACTCACACCTGCACATCAAGTGCTTCACTGAGGCCATCACCCCAACCTGGCTCCCCACTGATGATGCCTTGACTAACACCTTCGGGGAATTTTAGTGTTTTATAATGAGAAGGGGTTCCAGAGAAAGCTTGTGAAACTGAGTACTAGGGTGAGAGAGGACACTGACAATGTGGGATGAATTAATACATCTACCTTAGATTTGGTTTTACAGTACACACAAGGGAAGGCTAAATCCCACTAGTGTAACAGACCCAGGTATACCTGCAAATATTTTTTCTTCAGGAGCCTCATATTTTGCCTGCTTTAGGCTCTTTTTCCTGGCTAAACAAAGTAGACTTATTAAATAATTCAGTTTCCTCATTTTATTCCTCAACAACAGTTTAGTTACAAATTCGAGTGTCTAACAAGGGATAAAATTCCCAAGGGACTCACTGCTGCGAGAGCCTTGCTGCAAGGTATGGAGAAAAGGCTATGAGCAGACTGGCTATGTTCTGCCACTCCTTGACATACTCACTATATTTAGTTACTATCAGGGTTCTCAGTTCATATGTCACTTTTTTTTTTCTTTCTTTCCTGAAACAGGGTCTCATGGAGATCAGGCTGACCTTGAACTCCTAATCTTCCTGTCTTCAACTCCCTAGTCCTGGGTATGTGTCATCACATTTGGCATGTCTCCTTTATATCTCAGACTTAACTTGTCAAATCTCAAGTAGAGTGCAGTCAGCTCTATGGAAGTTTCTATACAGCCTAAGACTTAGTCACTACTAACAGGGAAACAAAGACTGTATCATGGTAGGTTTTTTGGTTTCTGGACAAAGGAGGCAGGATAGTGGTATCCAAATACCCTGAAGGTGAAGAACATCCAAACCTGGCATGTCTAGAATCATAACATTTCAGAGGCTGAGGTAGAATTTTCTCAAGTTCAAGGGCAACCTTTTACAGAGTAAGACGTCTTAAAACACAAAGCAAAAATCCAAGGGGCAAACTCTGATGACCCCTTTCCTCCGAGGGAATCAAAGGCTAATGTGAAACAGGAAGCATCCAGAGCAGGGGCAGCATGTCTTGAGGGGAGTGAGGCACATAAGTAGGAAAACAGACTAAGGAACAGCAAGCTCTAGACCCCACCTGCCTTCCTCTGTTCCTGTTGACAAGGTGGGTAAGAGTATGGCTAAACAGCACTTCCCATCCCAAACACCCCAAGAGCCCCGCTACTCGGGAAGACTGTTCCTGTGGGTGAGCTTGGAGAACCTCAGAGAACAAGGCTGGTGTGCTCAGTTAATCTGTGCTGTAAGATGTTCTTAGCTGGTTTTTAAAGAAACAAAAGTGACACAGGTCATATGGGCTACAAG